GGGTGGAGGGGAGCTATGGGGGGGAAAAAGAGGAACAACTGTAATAATCTGAACAATAAAGATTTAAAAAAACAAAAAAAACATCACATAAGCAGACTACAGTTCTACACCCTAACAAGACTACACCTTAACAAATTTAAAAGAACAGAAACTACACAAAGTATGCTCTCAGACCACTGAAAGGGCGAGGGCTAGGCCCTCCACCTTGCCCCAGGGTAAGGGCTAGGCCCTCCACCTTGCCCCTGGGTAAGGGCTACGCCCTCCACCTTGCCCCAGGGTAAGTGCTCCATCTTACCTTGGCCACGTGCTTGGCGGGGAGCTTCTTCCCGGAAGTCTAAGCCTCTGCTAGCCACACCCAGGAACAAGACACAGACTTGTGCCTGGCCAATCGGCAGAGCACAGTCCTTTCTCCTCCCCTTCCTCCAACTCCCCCTATATAACCCGTCTCCACACAGAGTTATCTCTCTCTGCTTCCTGTCGCTGCGTCGGCAGGGTGGGGGAGCCGAGCTAGCTCGAATACAGATTCTTATGCTTTTGCATCGGATTGGCTCCCTGATGTGGTTTCTTGGGAATCTTGAAATCTGGGCATAACATTTGGGGGCTCGTCCGGGATTCCCAGGACCATGTAGGGATCCTCAATCCGTAGAATCTGCGTAGCCGCGGTAAGTGTCTGTGTGTTGTGTATTCTGTCCTGTGTGAGCTCACTTCTGGAATCGGTGCCTGAGGGGTCCAGGCGGACGCGCCGTGTACGACCACAGGCGGGGGAGAGTTAGAAGACGTTCTGCTCCCCACGAGGAATGTGTATTCTCCTCACGGATATGAGAGATGTGTATTCCTCTCATGAGAGAAGTGTATTCCTCTCGCGGATTTGAGACGAGGCAGGTCGCTCCCGCCAGTTTGGCTTAACGCCATCGTCTAGTTGCTTCCATGCATGGAGTTGGAAGGCTGTTCTTTGGGCCCTGTTTGTCTGTGTCTGTTTCTCTGTTTTCTGTGGACTTACTGGACGGATGTTATGGGACGGACTCAGACTGCTACTTTGGGTATTGTGATTGATCAGTTCAAGGAGATTGCGGGAGGCTTTAGAGCTCCCTCAGGAGTTGGGAAGTTGTTAGGAATTGAATGGATTGTTTAAACTCTTAATGAATGTCTGGTGAAAGTATGTGAGTGTAAAGGCAGGGGAGGGGTCCCCGCCCGCCCGCGCGCTTCCCAGGCAGGGAAGGTGAGCAGGGATCACTGTTCCTCGGGCAGCAGGAGAGGAAAGATTCACTGGGAGTGAAGTTGAGGCCGGCTACCCATGGGTGATTGTGTACATTAGATAGGAGTAGGTTGGGGTTGGATAAAGATAAGAAAGAGACTAAAACAGTGAAGCGAACAGAAAGAGAAAAGAAATAATAAGGAAAAACA